GGTAAGTGTCACACCGGCCGCCTTTACTTCCCAGGACTACACCTCGTACCCACTCAAGGCTGGGTCGACCTCATTCGCCACGAAAAAGTCCAGTTTTCCTGCCAAACAATTCTGTCTCATTATGTAACGATGTAGCCCATGGTTTTTTTCTTCTTCCGGATTGCAGTCTATGGGATTCATCATCATCAATTTCAATTTCTGCCTTAAATCTTGATAGGCGGCAATGGCTTTTGTCATTTCGTGTCGATGTAGAAGATAATTAATGTCATCAATCCACGTCATTCTAGGGCAGCCTCTTGCTTTCCCTTCAGATCTTTTCCTGTGTAGCGCCTGCGGTGTTAGCTGTTCTGGTTGTATCCTTACTAGATGGCATAACCATTTGATCTTGTGTTTCTCAATGAATTTGCTGAGAATGAAGATAAGAATTAGACAGGTACAAATCGGGAAAATCCTGTTTAACCGCATAAATGTGATATTAGGGCACCAAAAGGTTAAGTAACCCCGTGTTCGATCCGTCAATAAGGACTATACGTAATGTAGCGCCTATGATTCTGGGACAACATTATTGCAAAGCAAATCTGGCGTCGTAAGCAAGAATTATGGGGCAGAAATTTTAGGCTCTTCTTTCTTCTTCTTTTGTCGTCTCACTGGTTGTAGCCCAGTGTCGTGGTTTTGTCGTCTCACTGATACCAGGTTGTAGCCCAGTGTCGTGGTTTTGTCGTCTCACTGATAACAGGTTGTAGCCCAGTGTCGTGGTTTTGTCGTCTCATTGATACCAGGTTGTAGCCCAGTGTCGTGGTTTTGTCGTCTGACTAATACCAGGTTGTAACCCAGTGTCGTGGTTGTGTCGTCTCAATAATACCAGGCTGTAGCCCAGTGTCGTGGTTGTATCGTCTCACTGATACCAGGTTGTAGCCCAGTGTCGTGGTTTTGTCGTCTCACTGATACCAGGTTGTAGCCCAGTGTCGTGGTTTTGTCGTCTCATTGATACCAGGTTGTAGCCCAGTGTCGTGGTTTTGTCGTCTGACTAATACCAGGTTGTAACCCAGTGTCGTGGTTTTGTCGTCTGACTAACACCAGGTTGTAGCCCAGTGTCGTGGTTTTGTAGTCTGACTAATACCAGGTTGTAGCCCAGTGTCGTGGTTTTGTCGTCTCACTGATACCAGGTTGTAGCCCAGTGTTGTGGTTTTGTCGTCTCATTGATACCAGGTTGTAGCCCAGTTTCGTGGTTTTGTAGTCTCATTAATATCAGGTAGTAGCCCAGTGTCGTGGTTTTGTCGTCTGACTAATACCAGGTTGTAACCTAGTGTCGTGGTTGTGTCGTCTCACTAATACCAGGTTGTAGCCCAGTGTCGTGGTTGTGTCGCCTCACTAATACCAAGGTGTAGCCCAGTGTCGTGGTTTTGTCGTCTCACTGATACCAGGTTGTAGCCCAGTGTCGTGGTTTTGTCGTCTCACTGATACCAGATTGTAGCCCAGTGTCGTGGTTTCGTCGTCTCACTGATACCAAGTTGTAGCCCAGTGTCGTGGTTTTGTCGTCTCACTGATACCAGGTTGTAGCCCAGTGTCGTGGTTTTGTCGTCTCACTGATACCAGGTTGTAGCCCAGTGTCGTGGTTTTGTCGTCTCACTGATACCAAGTTGTTGCCCAGTGTCGTGGTTTTGTCGTCTCACTGATACCAGGTTGTAGCCCAGTGTCCTGGTTTTGTAGTCTCATTAATATCAGGTAGTAGCTAAGTGTCGTGGTTTTGTCGTCTCACTGATACCAGGTTGTAGCCCAGTGTCGTGGTTTTGTAGTCTCAATAATATCAGGTAGTAGCCCAGTGTCGTGGTTTTGTCGTCTGACTAATACCAGGTTGTAACCTAGTGTCGTGGTTGTGTCGTCTCACTAATACCAGGTTGTAGCCCAGTGTCGTGGTTGTATCGTCTCACTAATACCAAGTTTTAGCCCAGTGTCGTTGTTGTGTCGTCTCACTAATACCAAGGTGTAGCCCAGTGTCGTGGTTTTGTCGTCTCACTGATACCAGGTTGTAGCCCAGTGTCGTGGTTTTGTCGTCTCACTGATACCAGGTTGTAGCCCAGTGTCGTGGTTTTGTCGTCTCACTGATACCAGGTTGTAGTCCAGTGTCGTGGTTTTGTAGTCTTATTAATATCAGGTAGTAGCCCAGTGTCGTGGTTTTGTCGTCTCACTGATACCAGGTTGTAGCCCAGTGTCGTGGTTTTGTCGTCTCACTGATACCAGGTTGTAGTCCAGTGTCGTGGTTTTGTAGTCTCATTAATATCAGGTTGTAGCCCAGTGTCGTGGTTTTGTCGTCTGACTAATACCAGGTTGTAACCTAGTGTCGTGGTTGTGTCGTCTCACTAATACCAGGTTGTAGCCCAGTGTCGTGGTTGTATCGTCTCACTAATACCAGGTTTTAGCCCAGTGTCGTGGTTGTGTCGTCTCACTAATACCAAGTTGTAGCCCAGTGTCGTGGTTTTGTCGTCTGACTAATACCAGGTTGTAGCCCAGTGTCGTGGTTTTGTCGTCTCACTGATACCAGGCCGTAGCTCATTGTCTAGGATTTCTGTATTTGTCGTGCGCTTGTGTGATAGATTTGTTCATCTTTTTGCAGGTTTCAGGTGCACTATTTATCCATCTCTTTCTTGGTCTTCCTATCGCCTTCCTCCAAGACGTTCTGATGTAAAAAAAAAAGTCTCATATGCGGTTTAGTCTGGCTGCATAGTCTCTAGAGTGCTGAACCTTTTCATTCTTTGTGTAAGATTGTAATCCAGACCTGGTCTTATTCCAAATAGCTCTCTAATGCTGGTATTCGTAACCCAGTCCCTTATTGTGTTGATAGTGACCTTATGGACACAGCGCATTTCACGTATAACTAGTTATGTTCTGTTCTAGTGCCCTATTCATTGTCCATGTTTGGCACTGATAGCATAACATATGGATAAAAAATTATTTGCTGTTTTGCTGGAAGGGAGATATCTGGGTGTCTAAGCAGTGGGGCTAACTGGTAGGTGACAGTCTTTGTCATCTGTGCTGTGGCTTTTATCTCACTATACAGTCTGCCATTCTCCGCAAATATGCTTCCTAGATGCTTAAATTCTCTCGCGTGTTTGATTGTAGTAAGGTTAACACAAACGCTCAAGCTTAAATGTTCCTGCCTATTTCCATTACGACAGTTTTCGCGGTGTTTATTCTTATATCATACTTTGTACAGGTTCGATGGAAGGAGTCAATATTGTGTTGTAAATTCTGTCACTGATAGGAGTAGAAGCGAAAATTAAAGACTTCGGGCAATGATAAGTTCTGTCAAATCACTGAATGAACTAATGAACAAACAAACGGATTTTATATCCAAGGGCTCACAAACTGGGCAGGCAGGCCCGTCCCACATTGAGCCCAAAAAAATTCATCTTTCACAAGTCAATTATATTTTATATATCAAGCATTTTTATACTCATATATCAACAATCAGCATATGAATGCAAAGTAAAAATACAAAATCCATGGTGGACAAAAACGTTCTAAACAAGCACATCGGATTGTCTAATCTAGGTTGCAGATCTCACATTAGCTGAAAATAGTACTTTTGTTACATCGGACTCAACGAATAAACTAATATCTACATTTGTTTTTATTTCTGTCGTTGTTTAACTATTAGATGGGCCGCGAAAAAATTTCCACATTGTTGGTGGGTCACATGTGTGAAAGGGTTGAGAAACACTGAATTAAACAAGAGCATTTCATGTAATAACAGTACATTTCCTTATAAAAGAGAGTAGTTCAACCTGACTTCACAGACGCAAAAACTTCAGTTCACTGTGGGAAAGGCGGAACTGAAGCTCACAACAGGAGACGCAATATCGTCAGTTCGTAGAGACAGATGTAATATTTAACAGATTGTATTAATTAACCAGGAACTGTAATAGTGTAGTGGCTAGTTGCTCGCCCTCCGACCCGTAGATCTTGGGTTCAAATAATACCGTGGAAAGTTTAGTTAGAAGAATGATTTTGACTTAGAGAAGTGAAAGAGATTAGCATTATGTTGACTGCATCACTCAGCAAGACCTGTTGGTATATACTTTATATATATATATATATATATATATATATATATATATATATATATATATATATATATATATATATATATTCGGTATTATATACCGGAAATCCCATTTTTACTTACCTACCTGCTCTACCGTGACGAAGTTCTAATCTAGTTTAAAACACGCAACATCTTTGTATTCATTAGTGACATGTGACTGGAGACAGATGTTCAGGTGCCTTCTTATTTCATGTAACACTGTTATAACATTAGCACAACAAAGAAAACTAACCGGACATGTATGCAGAAGGGGAGAGAAGCGTGCACAGAGGCAGATATAGACGGCCAAGAATGAGGAAACAAGACCTCCAGGATGACCCAGAGTTCGCTGGGAAGACAACATTTGACAGTCCCTAACTGACAGAGGACTGGGATGCTCAAAGCCAGAAAAAGAAAACTGCTGATAGAGAGAGACGTCTGGCGATCTCTCTGGCAAATCTCTGCACCCGAAGGTAGAAGAGGAGCAACTAAGTAAATAAGTAGGAAAACTCATTTGGCTTACACCTGATCTTTTGCTGACAGAGTATCATCAAGCTTGAGTTAGGCTACTACTTTCCCTGATTATTTCAGATTAGCCTCTTTAATTATTCATAATGCACGTGTTTATGAAATACAAAATAGCACGGCTAGAACACTGGGCTCTTGTCCAAAAGACCCAGGTTCCAATCTTCGGTGACGTCAACGAATTGAGTATTATTTGGTCAAAGGAACCAACAGTTTTCAACTGCAGTGTGTGACGAATGGGATAGTCATACGGCGCTTGATCTTTCAGACTGAAGACCTTGCGTCTACACCGCTCTACAAATGTTTCATAATTACAGTAATGATAATGCTTGCTATTTGCGTTGTGTTTCGTTAAAAGATAACTTATGTATTTAAAATGTTGCAGATGGTCATGCTGACACAGGTTAGGAAATCTTGGAAGCCCGCTCTGACTGTGGCCCTGGTCTTCATTGCTTGGACCGTGTCCACCTTTATATGTCATAAAAGTGGCAAACTTTTTCTGCTGTTGTCCGAGGAAATATTGCAAGTTCAGGAGGGTGACCACCACTTCTACAGTCCCTTGATTCGGCGCTTTTGTTTGGCGTTTATTCTCACGGCAGTGCAGGTCAGTTCCGCCAAGGTGATAGATTTGTTAAATGTGCTGTCTGTGTCATTCTTGCTCCCCATTAAGAGTTATTTCCCTTCTGAAAGTCAGTTAAAAAATGTTTTCTTTATGTAATCTGTTGGTGAAGACTCTCAGACCCAAACATGTGTAATAATATTGTAAAGTTCTATTTTGCTATATTGTGTGGTACGAATCGATTGATTGATCGGCTTGTCCACTGCTACCTACAGTTTTATTACACCATCTTGAGATTACCACATCCCAGTCAGAATGGTAGACCAGTAAAGTAGATACCACATATTCTGTCCAGCCTCCATGGGTTTAGGTTTAAGCAACGAATCCACATCACGGCTAAGGTTAGTAACCCATAAGTGCGAACACCGTAGCACCGGTTAGAATCCTGAGCCTCTACAGAAGTTATGTCATGTGAAGTGTAAGAGTTTTGGAAGGGAGTCTCCTTGGCTAAGTGTTCAAACTCTGTCCTCATGCCCTGGAAGTCCTGAGCTCATTTCACATCGTTCAGTTCAAAGTACAGTTTTTTTTTCCAGATACCTGTGGATGTTGCTGGAACTGTAGACCTCGCGCTTTGTGCAACGCTCTCGGCAGGTGGCTAGCCGTGCTTGGAGCGAGACCCCTTCATGATGGATACAACCTAGAGCATTGAAGTCGACCTTCTCTACTTTGATTTTAATCACAATTGTGTTTGTAAGCAAATATATTTGATTGATCTATGAATATAAGTCTACAAGTGTATTCAAAACGTGTCAGAGGGTAAGTTTTCCTTTACCCTAGTAACATCTAGAGATTTTTCAATACAGTGTGGAACCTGCCTGCTGTTGATTTCCCCTGGCAACAAGAACGTGTTTCAGTCACGGGTCATGCAGCTGCTCCTGGTGTCCCATGCCTTAGCCACGCTGGCCATCAACTATAGCATGGCTTATATTGAGGTAACTGTTTTTATTTTTCTTCTAAATGCCAGTCACGACAATCGAAACCTTGTACAAGGAAGCCTGTGAACCGTTTGTCCGACCCTCTAAGCCACAAATCTGAAAATTGTTATTTTATTGAATTGTTTTTTAAAGATTCATAAGTAGGAAGGATACTTTATAGATTCAACCCATGAGCACACAATATGACACAGTCTACTACGAGCTAACTCTGCAACCTTCTCGTTTGATTAGATCGAGGTCGATACGTTGGTTAAGTCTAGATTATTATGTTAACTACTTTGTAAAATGACCATGCATATGTTTGTTCTAAAGTCCATCTTCATTTTAACTATACACAGTTGCAAAAATTGTTCCCTCAAACTTAAAAAAACAAAAACAGTTGTCGTAAAACTGGAGAGGTACCGCAGGAGTCAGATACTCGTCATCGTGGACGTCAAGACTATGGCACTGATTGGTCAGCATTCAGGCCCAGAAGACTTCGTCATTTACACAGATGGGTCAGTGAAGCGTGGATCAAGATCAGCATGGGCATACACAGCACAAAAGACAGGGAAAAAGATAAAAGTGGACAAAGTCGCTTACCGGACAACAGCATCAAGCATGAACCTAACTGCTGCCCCCAAAGCACTTGCATGGGTAGCAAAAAAAGCAGCCACATATTCGGTAATCCTTTCAGACTCTTTGAACATGCTTCAGAAAATCGCTACGTGAAGTCTCCGCTCCGAATGGGTAAAAAACTTTCGAAAGTCTAAGTTAACCTCCATCATCTGGATCTACACACCTGGGCACGCAGGAGTAAATGGTTATGAAAGAGCTGACCAGCTGGCAAGTAATGTACCAATGCAAACAAGAGGAATCATAAACAGAGCTGAGACCAACAACGCTGTACGGACTAGGTTTGGGATAATGGCGAGTTTCATACGCTAACACGACTACGTGATCAATGAGAAGCTTGATGAAGCACGTCTATGTCGTCTTTGAGGTAAATACAGGAGAAACTGTAACCAACTCCAAATGGGAACAATCAGTAGAGGTACCTTGGAGTGTCTGCTGCATCGGAGGACTGAGCATGCATGGGGATGCAATGATATCGATTTTCATAACATAACATTACATTTTTTTTAAGTGTCTAGAAAACTCATGCAAAGATCAACACGAATTTGTGCATGTGGTGTTAAAGGTTTCCCAATTCCTTATAATTTTATAATTCACAGTTGCAAAGGTGCTTCTTTCTTTTCAGAGCGGTGAATTTCTTTCATCTTTATTTGACTAATAATGTGTGTATTTCTGAAACAGAAAATAATAGAACATACAGTAACTGACAAAAATCAAATACTTTAAACCACAAACAGGGTGACTGTTTTAGAAATCATTTCATATGTGCAACGAAAGTGAGGATTTTTTAATAGCCTTTTCCGCGGACAATAAGATATTGTGTTCATCTAATTCATGGGAGGCTAATGATGGAGATTGACTACATGTGAGTGACACGCTGTATCTGGCATGGGTAACCTCTAAAACATGTGCAAAGTTTGCACCACTCCATTATCCGCTCACTTTATGCTTTGAATCAGCTTCTGCTCCCCCCCCCCCCACATAACGTAAAAAAGGCAACAACAACAACAACAACAACAACAACAACAACAGCAACAAATACAACAAGGTGTTTTTACACGATAATTATTTTCCTGCAAGATTTTGATTATTATTAGTAAATCTTCATTCTTTGCGGTAGACAATTTATCGTTATTTTAAAGCCCCACATTGGCTCTTGCCAGGGACCGCAAAATGGCCTAATGGCTGACCGCGGTTTCCGGGACCTCACCACGGTTTATCCTCATCCGCATGGTGACACTTTGTGTCATCGGGTGTTTATCGATCGTGTGATGTCCTGATGGGTTAAAATGTACTACTGTTACTATTAATAGATTTAATGCCAGATTTCAATTAATTTTCCTGAACGGTTATTGAGGTACATATTTTGTTTTTAAAAGATGGACAACTTTTGTAATAGACCATTGTTGTGTTTCAGTGTGGTAATCTGGTTTACGTACTTTGTGTATTACCACTGAGAATGCTCGAGTGTCTCCCCCCCCCCCCTCCCACCCCCCGCAAAAAAAAAACATCCTACCGATTCTAAGCGCCGAAAATTAGCCCATAAACAGCATCCTTTGTTGTTGTTGTTGTTGTTGTTGCTGTTGTTGTTGTTGTTATTGTTGTTGCCATGATGGAAAACATCACGCTGGACTGAAGAGAGCTGTGATGGAGGCTACGGTTCCCCCATCCCCCCTCCCCAAAAATATGACCGGCCATGCAGACAGACCTCTTCGAAGGTAGAAAAATTGATTTAAAGATGCACTGGCTGTTAAAGTATGTATTGCAAGTGAATTGGTTAAAGAAAGACGTCCATGTGTTTCGTTACGAGAGCGACGTTCTGCAAAGGACCTGCTAACTCAGACATTAAAGAGCAGCCGTGCTGGCATCTACCTGCCGGCAAAAAGATCTTCAGTTCTTCATGGTCGTTTTGTCATTGTTGTCGTCTTCCTTATGGTCGTTATTGTCCTCGTCGTCATCGTCTTCCTCATGGTCGTTCTTGTCCTCGTCGTCGTCGTCTTCCTCATGGTCGTTCTTGTCCTCGTCGTCGTCGTCTTCCTCATGGTCGTTATTGTCCTCGTCGTCGTCGTCTTCCTCATGGTCGTTATTGTCCTCGTCGTCGTCGTCTTCCTCATGGTCGTTCTTGTCCTCGTCGTCGTCGTCTTCCTCATGGTCGTTATTGTCGTCGTCGTCTTCCTCATGGTCGTTCTTGTCCTCGTCGTCGTCGTCTTCCTCATGGTCGTTATTGTCGTCGTCGTCGTCGTCTTCCTCATGGTCGTTCTTGTCCTCGTCGTCGTCGTCTTCCTCATGGTCGTTCTTGTCCTCGTCGTCGTCGTCTTCCTCATGGTCGTTATTGTCCTCGTCGTCGTCGTCTTCCTCATGGTCGTTATTGTCCTCGTCGTCGTCGTCTTCCTCATGGTCGTTCTTGTCCTCGTCGTCGTCGTCTTCCTCATGGTCGTTATTGTCGTCGTCGTCGTCGTCTTCCTCATGGTCGTTATTGTCCTCGTCGTCGTCGTCTTCCTCATGGTCGTTCTTGTCCTCGTCGTCGTCGTCTTCCTCATGGTCGTTCATGTCCTCGTCGTCGTCGTCTTCCTCATGGTCGTTATTGTCCTCGTCGTCGTCGTCTTCCTCATGGTCGTTCTTGTCCTCGTCGTCGTCGTCTTCCTCATGGTCGTTATTGTCCTCGTCGTCGTCGTCTTCCTCATGGTCGTTATTGTCCTCGTCGTCGTCGTCTTCCTCATGGTCGTTCTTGTCCTCGTCGTCGTCGTCGTCTTCCTCATGGTCGTTCTTGTCCTCGTCGTCGTCGTCTTCCTCATGGTCGTTATTGTCGTCGTCGTCATCGTCTTCCTCATGGTCGTTATTGTCGTCGTCGTCGTCGTCTTCCTCATGGTCGTTATTGTCGTCGTCGTCGTCGTCTTCCTCATGGTCGTTATTGTCGTCGTCGTCGTCGTCTTCCTCATGGTCGTTATTGTCCTCGTCGTCGTCGTCTTCCGCATGGTCGTTCTTGTCCTCGTCGTCAACGTTCTCCTGCCTTTACCTCCCTTTTGGCTGCTGCTGCTCCCTCTATTCCCCCCTCCCCCTCTTAAACAACAAAACGACAAATTCACTGTATAATTGATTTCACAAATCACGCCAAGTGCGTGTTATTAGCAAATTAAACACGGTACTAAATATTGCTTTATTATTATGACAGAGGGAGTCGCCGTGGCAGAGCAGCTAGACGGGCGCCGCGGATCGGAAGGTTGTGGGTTCGCTCCTTGGCTCCCAGGTCGACCCAGTCTTGAGTGGGTACCGGGTGCAGTCCCGGGAAGTAGAGGCAGCCGGGGTGATGCTGACCACATCAACCATCTTGTGCTGATTGGTCTATAAAATATAGCTCTAGCCCTATATGCCCTATACGCCTAAAGGCGTGGAAAAGATCCTTTACTTTTTTTTATTATGACAGAGATTTACTGATGTCAATGCCGTAAACAAACCGTAGGCCTACCAACACACACACACACACAAAAAAAAACAAGTTACTGTCTAGAAGGATAAACACCTTCCATTTTGAGAGCATGGAATATCACCTATGGTGACTAATGATTCCTGAGTCTTCTGGGACGATTAATTAGCACTCGTTTTTTTTTTTAAAGCAGCTTTTTAATGTTATTTGTTGTTTTCTGTTTTTTTTTTTTTTTTTATTCTCGAAAGTTTCTAAACACATCGCCATCTAATGAACTAATACTCTGATTAACAATACCGATGTTTGGGTGCCATTTCTCAATGAGACCCTGCATTTTTGTGCAAGTGGACAGCTATCCTTAATTTCTGCACGTGGAACTGGTCCATAATCTTCTCTTACCTCATCTGATGACTCGCTGGCCACATCGGAAGAGGCCGAATATTGACTTTTAGAGCTAAAATCAAACTAACATTTCAACGAAAAACACTGGACGAATTTCATTAAAAACGAATTTTGACGTTGACGAATATTGGTACTATAGTGTTTGTTGTTTATTGCCAAGCAGACGTTTAAACAACAAACAAATGAAACTCGTTGTTTATGGTTGCAGGCGGCTTCAACATTGGCCATCAAACTAACAGAACCGGTGACAATGGCTATAGGACACCACCTGGTCACCAGAACTGGCATGCCTTTACAAACAGCAATCAGCATCCCAATCATTATATCTGGAGCTGTTGTCTTTACAGGTTAAGCCTTTGTTTGCTAACTTACAAGTGTGTATTGATTAGTTGTTGGTGGATAATATGTGGTGAGAGTGTGTGGTGATAGTGTGTGGTGACAGTGTGTGGTGACTGATCGGTGGTCGCAGTGCCTGACGTCAGAGTATTGTAGTCAATCAGTTGTGGTCACTGTGCAGCGGCAAGTGTGTGGCGGTCAATGTATGGTGGTCACTGCGAGCTGGTCCATGACCTACCTAAGTTTTAAAGTATGTCGTAGTTGTCAGTGTGTGGTGATAGTGTGTGGTGACGGTATGTGTTGATATTATGTGGTGATAGTATGTGGTGATAGTATGTGGTGATAATATGTGGTGACAGTGTGTGGTGATAGTATGTGGAGACAGTATGTGGTGATAGTATGTGGTGACAGTATGTGGTGATAGTATGTGGTGATAGTATGTGGTGATAGTATGTGGTGATAGTATGTGGTGATAATATGTGGTGATAGTGTGTGGTGATAGTGTGTGGTGATAATATGTGGTGATAATATGTGGTGATAATATGTGGTGATAGTATTTGGTTACAGTGTTTGTCGTCAGAGTGAGGCCATCAGTCTTTCGTGGTAAGTTTGTTGTTGTATGGTAATATTGTCAGAACGAGGCGTCAGTGTGCGACGCTTACTGTGGTTCCAGTTTGTGAGTCAGTGTCACAAAGGAAAATCAGTCTTTTTTTAAAAGAGGAATAGACTTATACGAAAGCCATCACTCCTTAACCCAGGAATGCCAAAATGCTGCTTAACCGAGCCGCCATCTCAACATTAAATTACTTGAGAGTGTCTATTATTATTAGGGAAAGCCCTAACACAGTCAAGCGACACCATCGTCTCGTGACACACATGCTGCTACGTTGGTCATGCAGATGACAAGTCTTTATCTGCAGTCTTCAACTATAACTGCATTTTCGGTCATTTCTTGTCCCCCTTTAGGTCTTCGCCTTTCTCTGCTTCTCATTCCATTGTCCTTTCTTCCCCCTCTCGAGACTGCTCCGGCTGTTTATAGATTCCTAGAATACTTTTTGCCGCGTCACAGACTGTGTAGCTCACTGAAGGATCAAATTATTTTTGTGCCTCTGCTGGAGTTCCTTCACATTCGACACCCGCGAAGCTGGTAAATGTTTACCGCTCAGGTTTCTGGTGCTCTTGTTCTGACTACAAGTTGTCTCAATAACGATATTATGGCAGTAACAAAGGCAATAACCTGGCTGGATACACAGACCTTCACTCTGGCTTCGCTCGTAATAACTGGACATATTTTTTTCTAAGGAAGACAACAAGAACAGATTTCGTGAATTTACATTATCATGGCAAGACAAGTGTCCGGTCATGAAGTAATGTATTTACTGGCGTTCTCAAGATGTGAAACAAATATGGTCGTTTACACAGTGTGGCGAAGCACTAGCTAGAGACTTAATTACTGTAATAAGTCATTTTCTACTTTGTCTTATCTTTCATAAACTATGATGAATGGAGTCGGCTCTGTGGCTAAGTCGATGCGAACGCTTCGTAATGCCTGGATGCCGGGCGCGATCCCAGCTGCGGGCCATCCGCCTCGCGTTGGTTTCGACAGTGGTATCAAGAAAGCAATGGCAAACTACTGGACGTAAATCTGAATAGAAAAACCACACAGCAGCTAGGGGCTGTTTGGGTTGGTTCTGCACCGTCATGTAAAGGAAGCGCAACTAACCATGCTGAATGGATGTTCTTAAGAATAATGTATGAGTGGATTGACCGATGACACGTTGACGTGAACAGGAACATTATGAGGTAAACGGGAATCTTGCTTAAAGACGAACAAGTCATGGGAAATGAGAAATTCGAAGAATGTCTCTGAACATTCTAGAACGAATTGAAGAGGCTATGTTAGCTATGAGAAACTGATGTTGATTTAGTCTTGTCTGGATCTTGTCTTGGTGAAAGCTGAACTGTGATGAGTGAATGAATCAACAAGTAAGTGAAACCTGTACTGAGAGCGTGATTGCTCCAACTCTCCACCGGAAGGAACCTGGCTACTAAATCCATGACGTCACGGAATGGAGGAATGCCAGATGTTGCGACTGTATATGTTTTTTGTGACATTGTGTGATTTGTAATGTGCTACCGAGGGCTAAAATGAAATTGTTCATATTCCTAACTGAAGTAATTAGCAATATGATTGTGAATATGGCTAGAACCCTAGACAATCGTTCAAATGACAGCATCTTGAGTAAAAGGACATCGATGCAGACAAAAACTGGTTTGATCAGTTGTTATTGTGTTTATCAACCTAAGTTCCAGTTGCTGTGTTACAGTCTCGAGAGTGTGTTAGAGAAGACTGCATATAGAGCTAGAGAGTCGTGAAATTATTATGAAAACATGTACCGTGATAACTCGGGTAACGAAGATAATTCATTACAAAATCAAATTCGTTTACGCAAATCATCTGAGATGTCCCACAGTTTTCTACAGAAAATCTTTATATTTGTTCTGGATGTTGCCCGCAGTTTAAAGATATGTAAATAGTAAATAGTAAAAAGCGCTGGTCAGTTGACGTTTATTTATCCAGATCATCAGAAGCTATTCTATTTCTTTTTTCACATAACTTCTCTAGAACTGAGAAGCCAGGTCTTCACATCCACTTGCAAAAGAAGCTCCTCAATCGACCCTTTCCTCTTTAAGACAGGAGCTATTATTGATGATGCTGCTATGGTTTATTATAGCGCACGCATTCGCTAAAACATTCTTTAGCCGAGACCGATAAACAACGAAATATATCTTCATTAGCCCAAAAGTTCGCTCATCTGCTTCACTGATTTCCCATGTTACCACTATGTATGTAATGTTCTCTTTGTCTATACTTCCTAGATATCACTGTCCAACACAACTTTAACAACATCACAGGGGCGCTTCTGGCATTTGCCTCCAACGTCATCCTTACTGTGCGGAACCTGGCGCTCAAGCACATCCAGAATGCTTCCAATGAACATGCACCAATGACCATCAAGCCAGGTTCACACATCAAACTGGTTGTTCTAGCTGAGGTCGGACTTGTGGGACTGGTTGCATACCTCCAGACGATTCAAGTGGTTACAAGGAACGTCTGGACGCTGCTGGCTTTATGCTTAACCTCTGGGGTTTTCCACGTCGTGTACTCCTACATTTCTACCAACGTTGTCTTGAAGGTAGGTGTTTGACAGAAAGCTAGCTGCACATCTTTTGCAGTGCATTGCAAATGAACCACAGCTTTGGTTGCCTTTTTCTGTAGTTTCACTAGGCAATTTGTGTTAGGAAGTTTGCCAATGCCTTTGTAACATTCGACGCGCATACCATTGTCCATCCTACTGTCACGATGTACTGGATTTCTCTTAGATCGTCTTTTTCTGATGCAGACCATCAGTTCTCTTCGTGAGTCAGTTTCTTTCAAGACATCTTCATTATTTCTTTGATCTGTCCAGGGCATTTTTTTCATTCGTCTATAAAACTACATTTCTACATGTTCCAAATAATCTTTCACAATCTACCAACTGTCCATGATTCACTTGCGTCTATCAAGATAGGATTTATGTAGCTTTTCAGAATTCTCTTTCTCGTCTCAACTGACAAAGAAAAAGTACATGAAATATTCTCAATTTTGTAACATGCTGCCTTTGCTTGAACTGTTCTACATTTAACTTCTTTAATACATCTTCCATCTGATGTTACCAGGGCACCCAAGTACTTAAACATATCGACTTGCTTGAGGTTTGTCCCGTTTACTTTGATGCTACACTTTGGAGGGTAGTTTTATTGTATTTACTATTGGTCCTTTTTTACTTTTGTTCAAACTAAGATCCTTGTTTCCACGTTTACTTAAATTATGAAAATCAATTTTTCCCAATTTACCCAGGATAAGAAGATTACTTAAAGACGTCGTTTTGCACTGTTTCCGACAGGAACCTCTCTACCGTGTGTGCAGCTGTTGATCTAGGATATACGTGGATGCGCACGACAGCGAAACAGTATCACTAGAAAAGTACATTTATTTCCATATTAGGGTTTTAAAAATGCATGCACTAATGGATGGCTATTGAAAAAAAGCTTAAGGATTGTATAGTATACAAGTATAAAGGAAGAATATAAAAAGGAATAATGTGTTAAATGTTAACAGTAATATCGAGTAAATACAGTTGATGCTGAATTTCCACAGGGTCTAAGCAGACACGAGCTGCCACTCTTTTACTATTTTAACATTTCAAGAAAATCTGCTATATTCAGATTCAGTTGGGCCTACATGAGTGTTAAGTAGGTTATATCTTATCGGGATCCTCTTGTATCTTGCCTTGAGGCGATAAAGTATAAACTGCGAGAGAATGTCAGTGTGTGGTCATTTATGGAAGTTTCTACGGATTCCGATAACACCGCTTGTCCTCACAGTTGGAAATAAGGTAAAACAGAGGAGAAGAGGAAATAGAAAGGGGAAAAAAAGAGGATGAGAAGAGTGGAAGTCACGAGGACTAGACGGATCGCTGGCTTGTGGGACGAGGTAACAGGTAAACTGGAAGATGCTGAAGACCCCTACCTGGAGAGCACGAGACAACGAGGGAGTCGCTGCCGGATCTGGGCGCCACTGGAGACAAGGAAGAAAGCAAGACGAGTAGTTAACCAGAAGACAGCAAGACGAGTAGTTAACCAGAAGACAGCTGCTACTTTCATTATGGAGACTCTTTGCTGGCTGCTGCGGAAGGGGAAGGTGTTAATGTGGGCTTTTCCTTGATGCTGTGACGTCAAATCTTAACCGAGATGAATCGAGATTCTCTCTTTAGTTTGCAGGGTCGGCCGTTCCGTCTGCTCCCTGGCTGTGTCACATTTAGAAACATTGTCAATGCGCTACTTTTGAAATAACTGCACAGTTGTATATGTTCAATTTACGCAGGTGATGAATGTGGTCAGCCACTCAATAGCCAACATTTTCAAGCGGTTCCTTGTAGTACTACTGCTGTATATGGGTGGCAACCGCCAGATTACAGCCATGAACTTCTTTGGTTTGTGCATGTCTTTGGCTGGTCTTCTTTTCTATACTTTTGGCAAAAAACGGCCTGAATTTAGAGAGGCACAATATTGAAGGTAACTCTCTCCTTGCTTTAAATTGGTAGAAAATTATAGGGTAGAGAAAAAGTTGGTAAGAAAGAACAAATAATTTATGTTAGTTTTACAAAATCGATCACAATAAACAAACAAAGGACGTTGCGGCGATTAGCCTTCATCAGCACATAAAGAACAACACAGTACACATACACAAATACGCTCCAACTATGAAGTGACTACACAGGACTATAATGTACAAAATAAATGATACTCATCTATCCCTGGCGAAAAACTCCGTTGAAGACGATGACTAGGACTAGCCTTTATATCACAAACTCGTGGACGGGAGCGAAAAATGGGGTCAGTATGTCTGGGAAACGGGCGGAGTAGACGCCAAAAGTCACAACAACGTACACTGAGTGTCTAAAGAGGAAGGGAGGGGTTGGCCAATAAGGCGTAACCAGGGTTAGCTTGTGGGTATGACGTTTTATGCTTATTCTTTCTCCATTGTGAGTTGTTGTGTTGTTTCTTCATACGTTGATTGTTAATATTGAAAGTTTCTTTTTATTATTGTCACAATCCCACTTAATAATGTTTTGTGCATAAGAGGTGAGTTTGAATCTTCCTATACATGGCAAATTGTATCCCCAGACAATATGTTGTCTATGCAGTATGATCTCTAACGCGGGAATTTATACCAGTACATTTGGAACACAGCAAAGTGCAGAAAATAATTAATTAGAAAAGGAGTGTGCTGTCCGTCGGCCTGATGGAGCTTCTCTCCTGTTCAGGCTAAATGTTTAGTCTGCCGTGCCATAAGGTTAAGTTTTCAGGAAATGTATTTAATGATGTGTGACTAAGAAGCTTATCGAAAGGGTCAAAGCGAACAACGTACACATGTACAATAAAAAGACCTTTTGATCGGGCCTTTCTCAACATTAACCACATAATAAAGGGTAAAGTACTCTGGCTACGAATCCCCAACTGGTAGAAGGGGGGGGGGGGGGGGGGGGGGGGGGGGGAGGTCATATGAATAACTTCAAAATATAGGAAGGAAAAAAGGCGTAGAAATAATAAAAACCGAAGGAGCGAAACTAGTAGAAGTAATAATTTCCTTCATGGTTCCTCATAGCTTGCTCTGCACACTCTGCTCTTGAGGCCAGGTGTCTTTTCGAAGTTGTAGGTAGAGTGGGCAGGTCTGCAGAATGTCCTCAGGTGTTTGTGGTCCTGTCTGACAGGCACATTGTGGGCGACTGTACAGTCTTTATTTTATTCATGTGGTAGTTGCGCCTGCAGTGTCCTGTTCGTAGACCGAAAATTGTTGTATATTGTTTTCTGTTGAGTCTGCTGATAGGGTCTTGAGGATGTTTACTGTTTGTTCTCTCCACAATTCCTTGTATATTCGCTTGATAAAAGTTTTGATTTCTGGCAATGACAATAAATGGGTGTGTTATTTCATTTTTTTCCCATGACTGTCTGTAAACACATTTTATGGCATGCCGCAATGTGCCGGAATCCTCAACTGGATATTTTTCTGAGACTTAGTTCTCACTCCATGTCCATGTTGTCTCGTGGATCCCTTTGAGTCGCCTTCAGAACTGACATGCAGTAACAAAGGAAAACAATTTAGCTGTTTTTAATTTTTCTTTCCTCAAGCACTTTGGTTGCTTCAATAATTGCTTGCTGATCTGCTCTGAAGTTTTTTGAGAGTCTTCTGGAGGCGCTTGACGTTATTACTGTTGTCCTATCTTGCAGTGTTTTGACCGATCCAGCGCCTCAGTTTTCCCCCCCTCCAATGATGCATCGGTGTATACGTGTGTCCATTCGGGTTTTGGGTTGTGGACATGTTTAAGGGTCTCTGCGTGCAGTAGTAGGTCACATTCTCCAGCCTTTCTGTCTACGCCTGGATCTTTCCTTATACCTGAGATGAACATCACATGAAGAAAAACGCATATAACAATATTTTACATTTATTTTTTGCACTTTATAAAAGACGTCATGAACTAACTGGTAATTATACCGGTAAAATAAAAACCATATTAACTTTATATTTCAGGTGAAAGAGTCAAAGGTCAGAGCGGGAAAACAAAGACGTACCTGGCTATTGGACTTCTGGCTCTGATCTCAATGTTAGTGATAGGCTCAACTATACGACCTGAATTATTGACATTGTCTCACTCAGCAACAGAGAGTGTCGCTAGCAGCACGTTCAGAGAAAGCTACGGCTGGGGAGAAAACCACATTTTCTCTGCTGACTTCTCCCACATTCTGAAAGAGGAAACAGATCCTGATATGAGGAAGTTTCTCACAAGACGTCTGGTTGAAATCCCGGAAGATACGGACCGGAGGGCCAAAATGTTAACCAGCAATAAACAAGTCATTGAAGAAGAGCAACGCATCCTTGTGAATCTATTACAGGATCTTTTGGGAAAAGCCAAATATGCGATGTTGATAGATATTCCGGATTACGATAACAAAGGAGATTCGGCAGTCTCATTTGGTGAGATTTTGCTGCTCCGAAAGGTTGAATATCACTGTTATTTTTTATTGTGCTTCAAATGCTTGTATCAAAAACACAACTTTGCTGGAAGCCCGTGAGATCAATAAAAAATACGTTAAAGAAGAACTGGTGGTTTTCTTGCAAGGTGGCGGAAACTTGGTTGGATATAACTACTTTGATACTGTTCGTGAACAATATATATCTATGTTTCCTGATAGAAGAGTTATCCTATTTTCTCAAAGCATTTGGCTGCGTGGAGGTAATCTACACGAACTGAAATACCCACTCGTGTATACTCCAATCGAAGTAATTTAGTGATGTTTCTAAGAGACAGGCAATCTTTAGAAATAGCCAGAGCAAATTTCAAAGGGAGTTCAATTAATTCTAGCACCGGACATGGCGTTTTGTATCGGAATTGTGCCTCGACAGCTGCCTCCAATCTACGACATTGTTTGGCTGAAAAGATCTGACGACGAATCGACAAAATATGTTGTTCCATCGTTTCCGCCAAACATTTCAGTGGATGTTAACGACTGGGTTGACTGGAAATCGAATTTTGGAAAAACAGCTATAGAAAACGTTTTCCTTCGGACATACGAAGCTTTCCAGTTTCTTCAGCGGGGACGTGTTGTCGTTACCGATCGCCTTCATGGTCATATTTTATCAACATTAATGAACATTCCGCATGTCCTTATTGACAATCCGCCGTACCTGAAGTTATCCTCGTTTGACAAATCATGGACAGCGAGTCTACGGAACACCAGGTTGGTCAGTAATGGGAGTCAGGCATTGAGTGCTGCAATGGAACTACTAAGAACGTATCATAATTCATTACCTCCCGTAGGATTTAGGGATGTGTCAGCGGAATCACATACAGGTGTTACAAAATAAACCGTTTGATCTTCTTGCAATTGAAACTGGGGTGAAACAGGCATGGAATTGATTTCGCCTGTTATTTGGTGCAACCTTTTGAGTGATAAAGAAATGATTTTTTTGGAAGCACTGGGAAATTTCCGATAATATTGCTCTGCTCACTAAACACAACGACGTGCACAGACAAACAGATGATGACGCAAGTAAAGTATTAAAAGTTGAACTGCAAACAAGTTTGATAAGACAAATATAAGGAAAGCACAAATAATAGATCAAACATATTATTGTGAAGCCTCATCCTGACTCTTGCCAGTGGCCGCAATATATGTAACAGGGAGACGTAATCACTTGTTTGTTGGGATTTAGGTTATTGCGCAGAGTTATGATGTACCTAAAATCAACAAGTTTTGGCAGCCTTGACATTCTTTTCTAGAAACTTTGTTTGTTATTACGAGAGAAATGTTTTGCAAATGAATAATCTATAAATAGTATTTGACGTCATTGTTGATGTGCCCTACCAAAGTGAACCAGTTGCACTGGCTTTCTAGAAGCTTCTATGAGGACAGCTGTCGATTTAACTACTATATGCGCAGAATAGGATGATGTAATCTGATGCAATCGAGATATTATTAGAAAATCCCATGTGAGAACGCACATGGTAAACAAGTTGAGCATACTAGAATATTCTAGAAGCAAAAAACTTGAGAAGAAAACCAATAACTAGCATTCCAGCATCCAAGTATAAGTAATGGGTTAGAAACCACATTGGTCAATTCTTCAGTCCGCAAGACTCAAGAGAGGAGGGACCAGTCATATGTATCCTCGAAGAATTTTTTCAGTCTACAAGACTTAGAAAGAGGAGGGACTAGTAACATGGATCCTCACAATTGTGGAGATACTACCTCAGGACTTGAAAGCAGAGGAGCCAGTCACATTGAGCCTTGAAGATAGACAGGAAAGAGCAGACATGAAACGAGACATTGAGCCACAGAGACAACACACCAGATACCTGCATCCGTGGTTAACAGAGACTCATTAAGTAGAGATGTTAGAGTCGACAATCAAGCCGTTAGTGCCGGACAGCACTAGAAACCAGGTGACAGTTGCAGACACTAGAACCAATTAACCAAGTAACTAGAGATGGAGAATACAATACGAACCAACGAGAATGTAGTCATAGGGAGGGCAAAGTGCCTTTCAGAATATTATTGGTGTTATCTGTGACATTTCTAAAGTATCACAATAAAGACAGTATAGACAAAAAAAGTTGTTTCCAGACATTTTATTATACAAGTATCAGAGTCACGTGAGAAGCATGCAGCTAGCAAGACATTATCAACACCTCTATCGACACGACCATCTTTCTTCACTCGTCTATACTCTTTCAATCGACTCCTCCTGTAGCAAATCTAAAGACGAACCTATGTGTGACATCAACATACGCAACGGAGAACACAGCTGTGCTACATATAGCCCGGCCATAAATATGGTCTATTGGCTGAACGCGGTTTCCGGGACCTCTCCACGGGTGATCCTCATCCACATGGTGGCACTCCGTGTCCTTGGGTGTTTATCGCTTGTGTGATGTCCTAGTGGGGTAAAATGTAGTAGTACTACTACTATACATACATGCATGCGTGTGAGAAAAAGGTTTTTTAACTCATGAAAGTATTAGGAATGATCAATCTCGTTTGGGTTCTACGAACAGTGAGTCTGTGATGAATAAAGTTACAAGTTGATTTAGCTGGTAATTCTGGGCCAAACATGGCCATCGTTCGTTTGACGATTCTGGTCAAAATGAGACATGTTGGTGTGATTCAGCGTGGAAGATTGGGACTGTTTAATCTGTCGTCAGATTCCTTATGTATTTTGTCAACATAGAGATAATCATGCCTTTGAAGTAAAGATTGTGTAATAGTTGTGAATTGCGATCCATGGTCTGTAACCACAAGGTGGCCTTGTTGAAGTCGACTGAGCTAATTAATAAACATTGACATTATTGGTGGGCACAATATAAACAATTTACGTTATGCTGATGACACATGATAGCAACAAGTCAGAAAGAGCTACAGGAAGTGATAGACATTGTGGTGTTAGAAAGTGGAAGAATGGGCCTGAGTTTGAATAATGGGAAGACAGAAGTAATGGTGGTATCAAAGAAACGAATTATTCCTAAATGTGTAATAAAAGTCGATGGTGTTATTTTAGGACAAGTACAGAAATTTAAGTATCTGGGCACATGGATAACATCAGATGGAAGATGCAAAACTGAGATAAGAAACAGAATAGGACAGGCAAAAAACTGCATTTTATAAAATGGAAAACATCTTGTGCAATATATCCTTGTCATTCAGAGTTAGAAAAAGAATGCTTGCTTGCTACATACATCTAGTTTTAACATATGGCTGTGAATCCTGGACAATTGGTAGGTAGGCCAAACAATTTCTAGAGGCCTCAGAGATGCGGTTTTACAGAAGAATGCTTAGAATACCTTGGACAGCCAAAAAGAGCAACCAAGAGGTTTTGAAAGAGGCGGGAGCCCGAGGACAGCTTATCACAGACATCAGAAGGAAACTGTCATCATTTTTCAGCCATGTTATGAGAAGAGGGAAAACAGAACATGTTGTGACCGCTGGACAGATCTGTGGAAGGAGGGATAAAAGGAGACAACGAGAGAAGATGATGGACAGTCCTGTTGCATGGCATGGAGGTGTGTCTACACAAGAACTGATACATGCTGCAGGCGATCGCAGATTATGGAGAGACATGATCGCCCAGTCGGCACGGCACCTGGTGATGATTATCAACAGTTGTGCGTTCGCACTAATCTGTTCCAACACGTTACAGTGTAAATTGGTGTGGTCACTATGAGTTTGCAATGGCTAGAGCCAAGAGACTTCAAGAACGAGAGTCATTGCACACCATACATGCACATACGTGCACCCTCGCTCCTACACACATTCTCAAATATACCCATCAATACGGAATGGGGCGCATCCATGGGCGCACGAACTGATGTACAATCTCCACATGTGTGTCAGTTACTGTATATTTTATTTTTCTGGGCTACATAAAACCAAGATCAAAGACATTCTCCGCTTAAAGAAAGCAGCGGCATCTGCGCTATGGTAACTATAAAAGCATAATGACATGGGAAACATAAGGCTACGCACACAAACAAATTATTGTCAATCCATTACAGGAGTTTTCGAGTTTTGTTAAAGTTTGACGGCGTGAGATTTCAAACATACATTAGCAGTTGAGTTTTACTTTTTTACTGGAGATAACTCGTATTAAATTAATATTGCCATTTTTGTCTTGGTTATTTCCCGTTACAATGCAATTTTTTTCGACGTTTTTTACTGTTTCTTCTTTTATTGCTTCTTGCTCCGCCACTAGTTCCAGTACCTCATCTTCTTCTATCCTTTCTCGTTCGCCTCCACTTCCTATGCTTCTTCCTCTTTTTCTGCTCGACTTAAAGTGTTTCCCTAAACCTCTCGCTTCTCGTCATTCAAAATCAGGCTCGCTTCAGCAAAGAAAGCATTATGAGGGTACTGCCCTCCCTATCTTTCAAATACCCTTACCAACCGTTACATGTTTTCAAGGTTTAAATGCGAGTCTCATGCCCATTCCTCAATAATCTACAATGCATAAACAAATACGTCAGAACATAATTTCTATAACTGTTACCGGCCTCACGTGACCTGTGCCTGTTGATGACAGGAAAATCGTGATCCCATCTTCAGCCTTCCTGCAACAGCGGCTTGTGCAACTAATGAAGTCCGCTGGCTTAGCTGATGCCAGACATAAAATATCAGTGATTTAGAAAAATCAATAAGGGATGCTCGTGGTTTTGGAAGAAGAGGCAGAGGCTGACTAAATCAACTTTGGACACAAAACATTAACTGTTTGCTGTGCGTTGTTTGCAGCAGGCTTATCAAATTGACAGTCGAGAGCCTCGTGTGGTCCTTTGTCCGCATAAAGAAAATTTTCTGCAATAATGTTGACCAAAAGCCTTCAGTTAGATGTCGTGTGTGGCCCTCAGGACAACACAAATATGACTCATATGGCACTCGGGGGACCCTCGGTTTTTAAAGAATCCTATCTCATTCAGTCCTAAATGTGTAACAAAAGTCGATGGTGTTATTTTAGGACAAGTACAGAAATTCAAATATCTATGCACATGGATAACTTCAGATGAAAGATGCATAACTGAGATAAAAAACAGAATAGGACAGGCAAAAACTGCATTTTATAAAATGAAGAACATCTTGTGCAATATATCCTTGTCATTGAGAGTTAGAAAAAGAATTCTTGCTTGCTACATACATCTAGTTTTAACATATGGATGTGAATTCTGGACAATCGGTAGGCAGGCCAAACAATTTCTTGAGGCCTCAGAGATGTGGTTTTACAGAAGAATGCTTAGAATACTTTGGACAGCTAAAAAGAACAACCAAGAGGTTTTGAAAGAGGCGGGAGCCCAAAGACAACTTATCACAGACATTAGAAGGAGACAGTCATCACTTTTCGGCCAGAGGGAAAATAGAACGTTGTGACCACTAGAAAGATATGTGGAAGGAGGGATAGAGGAAGACAACAAGAGAAGAATCTTGACAGTCTTGTTGCATGGCATGGAGGTGTGTCGGGCACACAAACTAATACATGCTGCAGGAGATCGTGTATTATGGAAAGGCATGATTGCCCACGCCAATCAGCAAGGCACCTGATGATGATGATGATCTCATTCAGTTGTTACATAACGGTACGGATAGTCGTGAATGTTTAAGGGAAACAACAAGGTCTTACTCTCCCGTCTGAAGCATTTAATCTACTTGGAGTGTCATTCAACGTGTATGATTTGTTTCTTTTTCTCAGGCTACATAAACAGTGGCTTTATTGTCCTGGTTCAGGATGTAGAGGATATCGTTGCATAGAGGATACGAATTTGGAGTGGAATATAGATATTATGTAGAGAATGTTGACATGAAGTAGGCAATAGGGACATTAGGTAGATA